CACTATTATTCAAATGGAAATAAAAGAAATGCATGGCTCCAATGGCAGAAAACTTCCCACATTATAATCCACAGGCTCAGCACAAGGGGGCACTTGGCAGTTTAGAAATAGGAACTATTTTGAAATGAGCTCGATTCCAAGATTTTTCCAAACTTGGCTTTTAAGAACTGAGCTCCTTCTCCCCTAGAAGAAACTGTACCTAGGAGTAGAGTATAGGCAGGGAGGTCACAAAACCCATGTATCCTACAAGTAAGTTTAGTTGTGGTACTAACCCAGTGTTGGATCTGGAAGAGGATTTTATTCACATATAAGGAAAATCAGAAAAGACATGCTTCCTCAGTTTTCCTTTGGCTAGATAAAATTTAGATCTTGGTAGGAAGAAACAGAAGTCAACTTTGCCCAAGTTTTTCCTCTCTGCACTGACCTACCCTAAAGTCTTCTCCACAGGTCCCTCATGTGGCTACAGTGCTTATCACCCCACCCTGGGCAGATGTTATTATCTCTCTTCCCTAACCCTTCACATCTCTAGACCAAGATTTGGCTACATTGCTTACTGTCTCTGTGACTTTGAGCAATTTAAATTACCCAATTATCTATCTGTAAAATAAAGATGATATAACCCTAGTAGGGCTAATCTAAAAATCGAATGAAAAATATATATGTTATGCATAGTACACCCGACACTCCACAGGTCCCCAATGATACAGCAGCAGCTTATTATTACTTTGGTTATTTAAATTAACTAAGACACCTCACCTAAGGATATGTTTATTGATTTTAGAAAGAGAAAGGGAGAGAGAGAGAAACATCTATCAGTTGCCTCTCACATGCACCCTGACCGGGGATGGAACCCGCAACCTAGGTATGTGCCTTGACCAGGAATCCAACCCACAACCTTTTGGTGCATGGGACAATGCTCCAACTAATTGAGCCACCTGCCCAGGGCAGTACTTTATACTTGCAAAAAAAAACTACACAAATGTATAACCTATTACATTTAATGGTTATTAGATGTGAATTAACATTTTAAATGTTTAAAAGATGCACAATTCTCATGTTTTCAGCAAATCCCTAAGAAAACATTGTTTTTCCTAACACTCACACACAAAATGCATCTGACTACCCCCCACAAATCCTACCTGAGACCCCACTATTGGTTAAATAGGCTCAAATTTAAACTTTCTCTACATCCATCAAAAAATGATTAAAAGATGACTCTAATCCTCAATATAAATTCCATTTAAAACTTTTAATGCTAAGGTTTTACTTAATGTTTTAAATAACCTAAATCACAATATCCTCCCTTGATATATATATAAAAAAAGATCCACAACAAAAGTTTCATTAACTGTTGCTTCAAAACCTCAAATCTAGTAATACTGATAATAGAAAAGGCCATCCTGAAAAGTACCACATTTGACTTTTTATAAGTAGTAAATATATACAGAGAGTAAAAATAATAGTAACAACTACACCAAGGTTAAATGTCGATTTCTACCCTTCACTTTCATGCTCACAAATCCTAGAACTAACGCTAAATTGTGAAATTTGAGTCTGTCCCAGCCACAGTAGCAGACTTAATGCACCATTAATCTGGTCTGTTCTCAGCTGCCAATTGAAATTTTCACAGTCATTTGATTTTTAAGGAAAGGAGAGTACTGCAGAAGTGCATTCCAGAGGTCTTTTCATAAAAACCATCCTGTGTGCTCCATCTGCACGTGCAATCTGCTGGGGTATTTTCAGCCAGCTTGCCTGGGCAGATTAATGCATACAATTAGAAAGCAACCTCACAGGCATTCAATAAACTGCCTTCATTATTACACTCAGGAGAGTCCCTTTGGATGTCAATAAAAGCCTAGTTTTCTGCCTGTTAGCTAAATAATTGACAACACTAAAAATAATCAGAAGCAAATGAACGAAGTCAGGAACAAGGTGTTAAGAAAGAGCACATTAAGATTCCCGTGGTGGTGCCCCAAGATGCCATCATGAGCTTTTTCGCTAGCAACTTGGATTTACAGTCTGCTCAAGTCCATGATCACCCTTCTCTACAGAAAAACAAGGACAACAAAACCGTTCCTTGTTTGCTATTTGAACCACACATCACAGCACGCTGAAAATGGTAAGGACATGAGGTATTGACTAGTTTGAAAGAATTTCTTACTTGTGTTTCTATTTTGTGTTTCTTGGTTTGACAGTTTTATGAGAATCTAATTTTGGGGTAGGAAGGTGGGGGGAAGATGAAGAACAGCCTGGTGAAATCTTTGCGCTATTAAAATTCTAACAGCTCTCCTAGACAAATTTTCCCCATAAACTGACTCTAAGAAGGTATTACCAAGACTTCTCATGCAGAGTTTCCATCTTTTCTAAGAAGTCCCTTTCATATTTTTAGTTATTATAATGGTCATTCCTTTCGTGAACTATTGGTCTTTATTTTTTAATATATTTTATTGATTTTTTACAGAGAGGAAGGGAGAGGGATAGAGAGTTAGAAACATCGATGAGAGAGAAACATCGATTTAGCTGCCTCCTGCACACTCCCCACTGGTTATGTGCCCGCAGCCAAGGTACATGCCCTTGACCGGAATCGAACCCGGGACCCCTCAGTCCGCAGGCCGACGATCTATCCACTGAGCCAAACCGGTCAGGGCAACTATTGGTCTTTTAATGTCAAAATAGTTAAAAATACTCTTTAAAAAACTTATAAATATACACTTCTTGTGTTTCTCAATAGGCTTTAAAAATCAATTTGAGATACTTCACATTTTTAGCCAACTTCTCTTTTCCCTGGTTAACTGGGACTCTCACAATAAGCAGAAGAAAGATCAAGAGTGAAATGTGCGTGTAATTGAATTCAGCTCCACTGATGGTTGTGAGGTGGCTGCAGGTATAACATTTTTCTTCAAAGAAAAAGGATGATTGATCTCTGGCATTCAGTAAAGCACAAATTCAAGAAGCTGGAAGACTATGAAAGAAAGGAATTGGGTGACACAATCTCCATGTCCTTTGAAACTATCGCTCATCCTTCACCTTACCATGTTAAAACTCTCCAGGAAAAGGACTCATTCAACGTCCCAGTTCTTACCTACAACCCCACGTTGGTAAGCAGGCCTCCCCTTTTTCTAGTGTAAAACTAGGATGCCACAGGATAAATATATTTGTTCTTATTGTATCTCTAGGCTACAACTCTCATCTATTCTCTACCCATAAATAGAGCTCAATAATAGAGCCCTTCATTTATTGCCTCTCTTCTGCCATCTCTCTAAGACAGAGAATTTCTGGTGTTTAGCTTTCTACCAGCTCCCTCACCCCACATTCCTACCTTAGAAGAAGAGTAGGGAAAGACAAGGTGTGAATTCTATGTCTCAAATGAGGACAATGCCTATTTTATTTTATTTTTTATTTTTTAAATACATTTTTATTGATTTCAGAGAGGAAGGGAGGGGGAGAGAGAGATAAAAACATCAATGATGAGAGAGAATCATTGATTGGCTGCCTTCTGCACGCCCCCCACTGAGGATCGAGCCCGCAACCCAGGCATGTGCCCTTGACTGGAATCGAACCTGGGACCTTTCAGTCCACAGGCCGACGCTCTGTCCACTGAGCCAAACCAGCTAAGGTGGCAATGCCTATTTTAACTTAGAGAAGATAATGTCATTCATTAGTACTTCCACCCAACCCCATTTCATCCCCCACTCATTTTCTAGCCTGGGTAGTAGAGGCCAAGTACCTAACTTGCTTAGGGGCCAAGTGAAGCACTGACAAAGTTCTTTCCTGGTTCCTACCTCTTGAGTCTTAAGGCAAGGAGGAGCTGCTTACCGCAGAGGCAGAATAATTTCAGTGAAATGAGAAAACAAGAACACGCTGTACTTATAAGAGCAGCATGATTTAGGGTGTTATATATGCTCACCCCAACACCAGAATAACCTTAAATTCTGCAAAGGAGGTACAATGATGGGAAGAGAAGAGAGGAGGGAGTCAGAGAGCAATCCATGTAAAAGTGTGCGAGGCCAATGACTAGGTCTCATGGGCCAAAAATCTCTGCACAGTCCTGGCAAAATCAAAGTTGTCTGATCCCATTCAACAAGGACCTCTATAAAAAGTTTCAAGTCCCTAAAATATTCAGGCACTTTTATGCCCTTTACAGAAGATATTTTATTTAATCTTCACAGATAGGCCTATGTAGGGAGATTATCAAACCTATTTAATTTTTTTTTCAAATGAAGTTCAAAGAGGTTTAGTAGTTTTGTCCAGGGTCATATCTTGGAAACAGCGCTAGGACTTTGAACCCAGATCGGCTTGGTTTGAATTCTACCACATTTGGAATTAACCAAAGGAAATATGTTCCTTTGGTTTTGTCTACTCTTTTAAGCAGTATGCAGGTAACCTAACTACATAGAGTTAGCACACAAGCTTATCTTTAAAGCCTATATAACAGAGTGGATTATCTACATCATACAGCACAGTAGTTAGTTGTCCTGTACGTGTTAGCTGCTGTTATTCACAAATCACACTGGAAAAAGTACCTCAGTGTATGACCACCAATTGGCAGTTTTGCCAATAATTGCTAATTAATTTCTCAATTCTTGTCTACAAAAATACCCATGTGTGATAGTCCTCAATCCATCAGATAAATGCCTAGTTAGTTTAGATTCTGTGGTGGTACTTTTTTTCAAACACCCGCTTCCTTATGTCTGTGTCTTGGAATTCAGTATAATCAGAAGTACCCCAAGTCACCAAAAAATAAAGCCCTCCACGTTATTTATAATGAAGAATTCCTTAGAGTTTGCAGTAATATTTCTAATCAAATGACTACTAAAAAATACTTTGGTGAGTATAGATATTTCCAACCTTAGGACCTCGCTTACATAATGAAGAAGTTCAATTACATAATTAATATAACAGCCAATAATCAAATACCAGATGTTTTGAAAAGTTACCACCACCTAGCAGAATGAATAATATGGTCATAAAGGTACAAAGCTCTGAAAACATAAACTTACTATTGCTGATGCTCTCTAAATGCTTCTCTTCTGAGGTTTTCTTGAAGTCTTTTTTTCTCCTCTAGTTTTTTGCTCTGAAATTATAAATATAAAAATGTAATGTATTAGAGAAACTTAAACAGAATCATGGTGTTCACGTTACCCAGTGGCCAAAATCATTAGGCTTTAGCGGCCTCAATAGTCTAATACGGTACTGCCGGGGCTTCCCAGATGGCATCCCTCTCACGGCCCATGGGTACTACACTGACAGCCAGGAGAAACCAGTTCTTTCATTGGCTCCCCTCTGTCAACCTGATTGGTATAATCACACAATCAGTATTTCAAATTTTCATTCCTTAGTTTAAATGACAACAACATTTATATTTTAAGCAGTGTTTTTAAAATGTTCTAAGAGAAACATGAAATTTCCACACCAAGTATGTTAAATTAAAATTATAATGAATGGTTAAATAGTTCAGACAACATTTACATATACTAAAAAAATCAGAAAAAGATTTTCAGTAAGTCAACCCAATGCCTTTCTGACTTAGAATCAGACACTTAAAGCTGCTGAGAGACGCAACAGAAAAATGCCATTAAAAAGCCATCATTTAAATAGAAAAGAATTCTCTCTTTATAAACTGGTTGTTTGGTACCTGGCCAGTGTGGCTCACTGGTTCAGCTTCAACCTATGAACCAGGAGGCCACAGTTTGATTCCCAGTCAGGGCACATGCCTGGGTTGCAGGCTTGATCCCCAGTGTGGAGTGTGCAGGAGGCAGCTGATCAATGATTCTCTCTCATCATTGATGTTTCTATCTCTCTCTTCCTCCCCCTTATCTCTGATATCAATAAAAAAATTAAACAAAAATAAATAAATAAATAAATAAATAAATAAATCCTATATAATGAAAGGCTAATATGCAAATAGACCGAACGGCAGAACAACTGGAACAACCATACAACCGGTCGCTTTGATATGCGCTGACCACTAGGGAGTATGTGCGGAACATGGCGGGCCTTGGCTGTGGTGGTATGGTGGAGCAGTTGAGCAGGGGTGCCAGACGAAGGCAGGGAGCTGATCGCTGTCATCAGGGCGAGCCTCTGGTGGTTACTGAAAATTCTTTGCTCCCACGCACCATGGTCCTGCCTGGCACTGTGCAGCAGGTGAGCAGGGGTGCCAGACCAAGGCGGGCACCAGTTGCTGTCATCAGGGCGAGCCTCTGGTGGTTACTGAAAATTCTTTGCTCCCACGCTGCAGTCCCACCTGGTGCTCGCACCCGCTGCCAGCGCCAGAGCCACCGCTCACAACCGCTGCTGGTGCCCAGCGCCGGTCCCGATCGTTTGGCACCATCAGCAGATGTGAGCGGGCAGCTGCCAGCCCTGATCACCCTGAGGGCTTCTCTACCTCCCCCTGCTCCTGAGGGGTGATTGGGGCAGCAGCCACCACTCACACCTGCTGATGGCGCTGGCCCCAGTCGTTCTGTGCAGTCAGCAGGTGTGAGCAGGGCCAGCACCTTCAGCACGTGGGAGTGGCAGTGGCAGGAATGGAGCTGCCAGCCAACAGAGAAAGGGGGGGGGCCTGCGGCAGGAGGAGCCAGACAGGGGCACAGAGGATGGACCAAGACCCTCACCTGTGCCTACTGTTGCCTCGCAACCCACAGTTCCTTTCAAGGTGCACAAATTAGTGCACTGGGCCCCTAGTAAATAAATAAAGTGGTTGCTTGGAGAGTCTAGAGACAAAGAACTTCATATTTGATATTACTGTCACTATGGCTCTGACATACTTTAATCCAACTTAAATAACTCAGAATTCTTGTTTTTTTTGTTCGCTATGACACAACTGTCTTTAAAAAAATATCTTGCCTATGAACAAGTAAAATTCCTAGACAACAAAGTTAATAGGGAGATGAAACGGGTTCTATAACACAGGAGAGACTTGAAGTTTTAAATGAATCCAAGGGAGACTGATAAAAGTCATCACTTCCAAAACTCAATGTCAGTTTGGCTTCACCTTTCAAAGAGGTAGAAATATTCATATTGTTCATTTCCACAAAACTCTTCATTCACGCAGAACAATTTACTAGTCCCATTTTGAAAGGTGAAGTGGATGATTTCAGTTTCAGGAAAAAAAACAAAGGAAACTTACTACAGCCAATACGAATCAATTACGATACAAGGCAATTGGATTATTAATGAAACATAGTTCTAGGAAAAAAACTAATAGAGAATTATAAAACCGAATAAATACGATCCCAATCTATAAAAAAGTCCTGACTCATGAAACCCAAAGTGGTCAATTGTGATGAACTTCCTACATCTCAGGGGCGGGGGGGGGGAGGTAAAAGATATCAAGCAAGCAGTAGGTATTGATTAAACCAGTATTAGTAATGCTACTTTGAGAATAGTGAAGAAGAACCACAAGCATCCAGAGACCAAGGGTGGGTTCCTTTAGCTAAATCAGAAATTTAAAAATTGTTTAATCTCTCCATTAATAGATTATCATTGAATTCATCTCACACACACACAAAAAAAACAGTAGCTAAATTCCTTCCAACAAAGATCTGTCACCCTGACCGGTTTGGCTCAGTGGATAGAGCGTCGGTCTGCGGACTGAAGGGTCCCAGGTTCAATTCCAGTCAAGGGCATGTACCTTGGTTGCAGGCACATCCCCAGTGGGGGGTGTGCAGGAGGCAGCTGGTCAATGTTTCTCTCTCATCGATGTTTCTGACTCTCTATCCTTCTCCCTTCCTCTCTGTAAAACAATCAATAAAGTACATTTAAAAAAAAAGATCTGTTTACTGCTCAGAAGTTTATAGGAGAAGTATTTTGCAAAATACCGAAGTATTTGAAAAATTGTATACAATACCTACCAATGTACAGGTACCCAGGTACCCAAATACTTGGACCTAATTATACTGTTTATTTCTTTCAGTTTTACAATGAGTTAAGGAATCACCCAAAAATATTTACACATATATACACAAATGCAGAAATGTAAAATATCTAAGAACATGAGATCCAGAAGAAAAAATTATGGAATCAGCTTTAGGTTCATTATCACTGACGGAGTGACCTTAAGTCATTAATATCACTGAATCTCAACAAACACTTACCAAATGCCTAATATATTCTTGTACTATGTTATATGCTGGGAATGCAGATATGAACAGAACAGTGCCTACTCTGAAAAATTTCAGAAGTTAGCTGGGGACATAGACAAGAAAGCAATGATGGCAGTATGTAAAATACATGAGAAGATAGAGGTTTACAAATAATGTAATACAAACACATAGAAAAAGCACAGAAGTGGGTCATCGGGAAATGCTTTCAACAGTTCTCGAAACATTCTTTCAGTGCCTACTAAGTAGCAGACCCCATGCTGGACTACTATGTAATTGAATAACACTCGGAATATGCTTTCTAACCTCAGGTTCATGGATGAACTGTGGGTTAGGAGTATGCTCATTTTTACAGAGTGGGCTCAGAGCCTTCTTCTGATTCCCCAAGGGACTTATGATCATACTAGAGGCCCAGGTCACAACATTCGTGCACTGGGAGGGTCCCTCTGCCCGGCTTGCACCTTCTCCCAATCTTGGACCCCTCGGGGGATGTCTGACTGCCAGCTTAGGCCTGACGGGGAGTGGGCCTAAGCCAGCTGGCGGAAATCTCCCAAGTGGTCCTTAGCACTGCTGCGGAGGCAGGAGAGGCTCCCACCACTGCCGCTGCACTCACCAGGCGTGAGCCCGCTTCTGGCTGAGCAGCGTTCCCACTGTGGGGATGCACTGACCACCAGGGGGAAGCTCCTGCATTGAGCGTCTGCCCCCTGGTGGTCAGTGCACGTCATAGCGACCGATCGTTCCACTGTTCAGTAGATTGCATATTAGCCTTTTATTATATAGGATAAGAGGATGAGAACCATGGGTCTAATGAAAGCTAGAAATTCTTGATAAAGACCAATCTTAAACAAACAAGAGCTTTCCAAGAGAAGGGGATGATGGGAGTAGGGCTATTGTACTCTATTGTATGGGTTACACACTGCCTGAGGGGGCCAAGTGGAGAGGGTTGGAAAGGCTGAAAAAGAGCCAGCTTTACGCTCACCACACCTAGCACCACAGCATGGGGTGCTTCAGTGCAGCAGAGGTGTCTTTCTATTTTTCACAAAGGTGCCTTCTATCACCAATCTGAGCACCTGCAGACCTGACTGTCTGAATGGGGATCACTTCTAATTTGCACAAAGGCAATGCTGGGCTGGGAGTGGCCCGGAATAGAAAAAGGGCATTCCCACAGGCAGCGGTTCTCAACCTGTGGGTCGCGACCCCTTTGGCGATCGGACGACCCTTTCACAGGTGTTGCCAAAGACCATCCTGCATATCAGATATTTACATTATGATTCATAACAGTAGCAACATTACAATTATGAAGTAGCAACGAAAATAATTTTATGGTTGGGTCACAACATGAAGAACTGTATTTAAAGGGCCAGAAGGTTGAGAACCACTGGTTTATAGTATTTTCAATGTACAAATGCACAAGAGAATGTGCCAGTTCAGGGAACTCCAAGGTGCTCCTGGATAAATTTAAAGGTTTTTGTAATGAGATTGGTGAAAGATAAGGTTGAGAAAGTAAAAATAGATAATTATAAAGGGATTTGTATGCCAAGTAAAAAAAAGTCTGGACTTCATTAAAGGCAGATAAGCCATTATGTTATTTTAAGCAGGAAACTAAGCAGCTCACTCTGAAAGCATCACAGAGAATGGACCACAAATATAAAATCCAGTAAAATGACTTTCACAGTAATCCAGGCCATAAATAATGAGTCCCAGATTAAGGCAGCCAGGATAGAAAAGAAAGGACAAACTCTAAAAAAAAAATGTAGAAGATAGAAACAACATGAGGGGAAAAAATGAAATAATATAAAGTATGACTATCTACACTAATAAAAGAGAAACATGGTAATTAGTGTACGACCGCTACCCTTCCCATTGGCTAATCAGCATATCCTTATGCAAATTAACTGTCAGCCAAGATGGCGGCCGGCAGCCAGGAAGCTGGAAGCGAACATGAGGCTTGCTTGCTCCAGTGACTGCAGACTCC